AATGTGATCTGCCATTTTTTCCCCTCAGGGGGTGGCACCGCGCATGCGCGCCGCGCATGGGGGCGCCACCGCGCATGGGGGCGCGTCCTTATGACCGGGGTCGCCGTATAAAAAGGTTGAGAACCACTGGTATAGGGTTTCCTGCTTAAGCAGGGGGTTGGACCAGAAGACCAACTCTATTATTCTGTTAGTAGACTGCAATAATAATAACACAGTAGAAAATAAGCAATTATGTTGTCGATATCTATATTTATGTGTGGCAACTGATTTTTACTGCCACACAGTAAAAGTAGTGGCATCATATGACATCCATTGGGAAACAGTAGTGTCTCCTTTTAATTTAGCTTTGTCACTTTTGGTGGCCCTATATGCACGACAGCTATGTTTTTTTTTTTCCCCTGCTTATATGCAGTCTTTCAAAACATGGAAGTATGAAGTTAAATCCTTTATATTTTAGTTGAATTGTTGTGAGGGCTGAATGTTAGTTTTAGTTGTTTCACATAAAATAAACTTCTACAGATAGTAGAAAAAGCAAGTTCATAGTAATTAAGTGAATCAGGTAGTTAAGTGAACTATGTCATTATTAAGCAAATCCATTCTACTGAATGGACAATTTTTGCCAGAAATGAGAAAAAAAAAATCACAAATCACTGTGGACATGATTGTGGGATGCTGCAACTAGTCATAAAGGTGAGCTAGTTGCCAACCACATGAAATGCAAACACATGACCATGACTTTTTTTGAGTCCATCATAACTTTGGCCAGTAAGCAACCAGTCATCTATGGAGATTCTCAGTCATTCAGGTCATGGTTGTCCCAAAGGTGCTTTTTTTCAAAAGGCACTTGGATTTTGTTTTTCTTTGAAAACTTTTCACTTCTCCTCCTAGAAGCTTCTTCAGTTCTTGGATGAGAAGCAAAACATCTTTAAGGAAAAAAGCACCTTTAGGATAAGCAATCAGTCATTGATTGAGGACTAGCTGCATATAACTGACTTGCTTATAGTGTTGAATATCTGTAGCTCGGGTGTTGGATGAGTGTGAAGGTTCGTTCTCCAAGCTTGTGGGTTGGTTTCTGGGTTGGCTGAAGATGTTACCTACCCTGGAAATGAAACATTCAGAAACAAACCCACAAGCATGGAGAATGAACCTTCACCCACTTGCTTATATCTTCTACTTGCTTTAGTCTACTTACATTTTTTAGTCCTCTGGTTGCATTTACTTTTCTTTTTACCTTTTAGCTTTAATATGTTGAATTATCTTTAAATATATTAAGTTATAAGAAAAGACAGGATAATAATTGTTGGATGAATTAATCACTCAGTTTTTCAATATCTTGCTAAATTATTTTAAACTAAAATTGATGTAAATAGTATCTTCTGTTGGCATTTTCCTCTTGTCTTGTTGCTGGAAAGTAATGCTCAACCTAGGTTAGTTATTATTAAAGTTCAGCTATCTCTGTGGGAAAAGTAATAGGTTTGTGTTACTATGAATTTTAAATATTGCCATTTCTGTGTATTGCACAATCGTTTAAAATTGTACTGCGGTTATTAGACCAACTTTGGTGTCAAGGTTGTGTGAATGATGATACTTTCCAAGCAATATGTTTTTGCCCCACAGGTTTTCCATAAAACTGTTCTTATACTACATAAAGCAAGCATCACATGCTGCTCACATTTTTCTAGTGTTATTAAACATAAAGTAGAAAACAACAACCTAATTGGTGTTGTTCTGTTATAGTGAATCAGTTCATTGACCTTAGGTTATTAATCATAATAGAGTTTCATAGTTTAGATTAAAGCCTGTTGGATGCAGCTCTTTAAGTGTGCATGCTTAGTTTAGAGAAGACAAGGGGGTTAGTTGTTTCCGTTTCTGCTGTTAGAAACAGTTCCATCAGTTGAAACATACTATTGGAATTGCAAAGGGCAATGGGAGAGGATGTAATGAGATTGCTTTCCTCGTCAATGTTGAAATAATTTCAGTTGCCCTGTGTGCTATTCAGCTTGACTCGGAAATGTAGAGGCTATCTGCCTCAAGCAGTAAAATCTCTCGGTCTATATTGGGAACATTCAGTGTGATTGTCATGACCTATAAATAGTCTTACTATATCTTGGGGTTGAACTACACTATCCAAATAAAACTTACAGGAAGAGCTATAACTCTGAAGTTTTTCCCAAACTTGTCTGTTTTGGACATACTATTTTTTTCCAAGTCAAAATTTCATTTGTGCCTCATTTTGCAGTTAGCAAGGTATGCTTGTGTGTGCATGTGTGTATGTCATGTGTGTGTGTGTGTGTGTCTAGTGAGAGAAAGTGCTATGTGCTATGGGAAACATGTTTTTTAAAATAAATGTGGAATTCTGTGGTTGACCACCTAGTATTGTAATATTTTAATTGATCTAAAACAGGGCTTTTCAACCAGTGGTACGGGTACCACCTGTGGTACATTGGCACCTGGCAGGTGGTACGTGACTATCCTAGAAAAGTGGTAGTGGGGGAGGGGAATGAGCTGAACCGGTGGCACCACCACAGAAGCCTGAGCGAGAGATGGTTGGAGCTGCAGGGCTGTCAGGGCTCAGCAGAAACACCAGGATCAGTGCTACTTTCCATGAAAACCTCGGACAGGAGGAAGAGTGTTGCCGGGCGGGCAGGCAGGTGTCTTGCTCGGCTGTAGCTTGGGGAGCACTTTTTTCAGTGCCATTGTAACTTCGAACAGTCACTAAGCAAACTGTTGTAAGTCGAGGACTACCTGTACTTTATCACTTTTTTCCTTTTTTTGGTCATCAAGTTTTTGACACCTTGCTAGGCAACTGGTGGTATTCGGATGTTGCCACATTTTAAAAGTGGTACAATGGGTGAAAAGGTTGAAAAGCCCTGATCTAAAAGCCATATAATAAAGTGGATTGATCTATGCTATATAATCCAGTCTTATTTTACTGTAAAAATATATATAGAACATACAATACGAAAGCTTCCTGCCAGTCAAGTAAAGTCCTAAATATTGTATACCATCAGATTTTTTGTTATCCCACAATCAGATTTTTTAATAACATTTTCTTCTTCAGAGGTTAAGTGACTTTTTATTACTTTATTTTTTTCTCCTATTTTTATATCCAAAAAAGCAGCCAAAATCTTTGATAACTTTCAGCTTTCAACAACTGAACTTGGTGGTTACAGAATTGTTAATACTACATTGTCTGCATAATATTTCATTTTATTTAAAGGCTGGATTAGCATATTTTTAATCTATAATTTCTATAAGAAGTATAGAGGTGGGAGAGTTGAACTCAGCAACTAATGTACAGTTTTAAGACAACTGAAATATATGTAATCAGCTGAAAGATAATGAATTGAACTTACTTTATAATTAGCACCAAATGCTTTGCAGATTGTAATTGTTCCCTTGTGATAGCATCAGCCATTCATTTCTATGAGTTCTTATTTTTATGTCATTTACTTAGAATTACAGAGAGATCTAAAAAGGCACTGTTTTGGAATTACTCCACAGATTATGCTGAGCTTCTGAAAGGCTCAATCTGCTAGAGCCTCTGGAGACATCTTTAAATACTGCTTTAATAGAATCATCTGATCAACAATATAACCAAGCAAGTTTTGCAGGGTGCATTTTATACATTTTCCTATCAACTCCTACAATTCTGACAGAAATGTTTTTTTGAAGAACAGACTAGAGATACAAACTAGTTCATTGCTTTGGAATGTGTACCATCTTCATGATCTTTTCCATCATACCAATACAATCAGTAGTACATATGATGAAATGTTGAGGATTCGGTCGTCAGCTACTGATACTACTTTACATATCTTTATATACTTTACAATATTTGAAGACCACCCAATCCGCAAAATAGAACAACTGGGCAAAATTGCATTATTAGTTCCTAAAATAATTGGTTAATTTCCAGTTCAAATTTTCTCAAGATTATAGAATATGTTCTGATTTTGTTACTATGAAAATAAAGATACTAAGAATGTTAGTCAAATGATCAATGTATTTCAGATAATATTTCCTCTGATCGACATTTTTAAACATAAATCTTCGGTTAGGTGAGTGGGTATGTTATGTGTTATCTTTGTGTAGTTTTTGGATATTTGTATTGCTTATTCCACCTTTGATTAAAATAAATATTAATTATACATTGTGCATTCTTTAATGATAGAGATGGTCTTTTGTTTCAGTTGCATCAATTTTTCTTCAAGATGTGATGAGATAGACTCCTCCCTAGAGTACAGTTGGAAACAGTATGACCTGTTTTTGAGGGATGGAAAAGTCTTGTCCTGTTTCTACATGTTTCAGAGAGAGAAATGTTCCGTGGTGGTGGTGGTGGTGGTGGTAGTGATGTTATTCCAGTTTACTTTATTGCCAGGTATTTGACACTGAGTTTTAAAAGAATAAAATTTATGGCAGCCTCTGGAAATTACCAACTCCAGGGAATCTCAGTTTCCTGCTGTGAAAGTTTCTATTTTCAAAGCACATCACTTTTAGTAGGAATGTTACCATAGTCCCATATCCTGCTCCTGACAGACAGCAGGGTTTCACCCCTGAATATGAGACAGCTACTGAAGAGGTTTCCTTGCTGCTAACAAAATGAATTTCAATATGTTGCCAGTGAACAATCAGTCTGTTCCCAACATCTAATGGAATTTAGCTGCATCAGCTATTAATGAAAACAGTCTTGTTTTCTTTTCTAACTTCAGTACATGCTACCAATACCCCAGTTTGTGTGTTATGAAGCTGGAAAGGAATGACCAAAGCAACATGCAACTTTTCTTCCCCTTCCTTATAAACTCTTTTTTCTTACTCTCTCCTTGACCTAGCAGTAGGAAGCCTTTGTCTGAGGTTTTCATCTGGAACAACTTTTCCACACTTGTTTTCGTGTTCTGTTAGATTACAGGGCAGCAGGCCTACCTTTGAAGCTCCTTTCCCTTTTGTTTCTCTGCTGTGCACTCCAGTAATTAACTTTGTCCTTCTTTTATTTGTTCCAGTCAATCGCAGTCCACTCTGCTGAGCATCTTCTCCCAGGAGTACCAGGTTAGAAGTTTTCTCCTTTGTGAGGGTTGACAGGTGCCTAATTGAATGATGAATGTCCCTTTATTTCTTTGTAATTGAACTGCCAGCTTTCTGATTGGTTTGGAGGATGTTCCCCTTTCCCCATCAAGCACCGCCTGAGTCTCGGTGGATGGCTGCCAAGCCTACCCATCCATCTGTCTAATAACATCTAGCCTTTGCTTATTTGGTGGACCTGTAATAAATTATGCTAAACCATTATTATTCTGACAATAATAATTTCCCTGTGTTGCGTGGTTCCATGTGCTAAATGTTTGCTGACTTGCACTGTCAGTGCTGCTTTCCATGGCTGACAGAGATGATGATAAATGACCATTGCCGGAGTGGCAGAAGGCAAGAGAGGCAGAAAATGGAGTCATTTATCATGAGATGACAGGTGTCAGTCAAGTGGCAAGTCTCAATGGAATTACTTTCTGTAGTTTTCAAATAAGTTGTTTTTAAACAATGTTCTTCCTGGTTAAAAATGCCAATTGAATTGTAAACCAGAGTGCATAGGACTTGGATGGAATTGATTTGAAGGGAAATTAATATAAAGGTTGAAAGAGAGAACAAGTTTTTCCTTTGCCCTTTGTAACCCTAAGCAAACTTATTTAGATTCAATTACTGTGACCTTACTGCCTTTTACATATATGCTGTATCGCACTACAGTCAAAAGATGTTTCATTTAATATATAAATAAAAAATCATTTCTGGAACTACATCTAGGATTTCATGGGGGAGGTGAGGGTGGGGGGAAGTTTCCAGGGATTTGTTACTGGTTTATTACAAAACTGTTTTTTTTTTCAATGTTTTAGAAATTAATCAAAAGAACACATTCAAAACATCATACTCCAGAGGCAACTGAAGCTTACTATCAAAGGTATGAACTATTCAGACCATTGAATGGCACATGTTCATATGTGATCCAGATTATGATGTTCACTTTTAAGGAGATATATGCTAACAATCCTGCTTTCTGATTAGTTAGAGTTGTAATTCCACTCTTGAATTTTCTAAACATAAACGGCAACCATCTCCTGAAAAGGTCACAGTCCAATCACTCTGGGCATTGTACATTTTTCATTTAGGTGACCTCAGTCCCACCTTCTATGTTGAGGATTTTGGTTTTAATTTCTTGCAGACTTTTTTATTTCCTATTCTAAGGTGTTTTTGAGAATTCACCTACTAGTTTTAATATGCTAAATGGTACTAGTGGTGCTTATATATCAACCATCCTGACTGTGCTTATCAGAAAAAATGTCTAAAATAAAATTAAGAAATTTTTACTACTTGCTTCATAAACAGAGTTATCATAAAGCTTTTTAAAATAGCTGTAAACCTTTACTATATCATTTCATAAAACTGTTCCTGATTATGTGCACCTGCAGTTAATAAAATGTAATTGAAATTAGTTGTAGGTTATTAGTATTTCTATTGACATAGACATCTCCACAACATAATTACATTGTAAGGCTATCTGGATTGGATATTCAATGGAAATGTTACTATTCAGATTGAATAATAATGAATAATGGTTTTGGCATATACGATTGCATCTTGTTATCTGAGATGTATGTTTTATTAGTATCCTTATAATTAAAACCCTTTTAAATATATATATTTTATATCACATTTTCTCACAAAAGGGTACTATAGTATAAATAAATACTATAGTTTTAGCACATGAACTGTTTTAGTACATGAACTTTAATGTAATCTTCATGCATTTGTTTATTGCTAGACTAAGAGAACTATTGTATTATAAGAGTTGAGTAGCAATTTTCTCTTAGAATTGCATGATAAATGTACTTATGTGCATGTATACAGAAACAATAAAAATGCATTTTCATTATATACTGTGATGATGCATTTTCATTATATACTATGTTATATACATTGCTGCTTGTAAAAATATTAAAAGTGCTTAATCGGAGCTTCCGGTGGGAGGCGACGGCGATGGCGGCTAGCTTTTAGCCGTCCAGCTGGGGAAGTGTCAGAGCCGCGGAGCGCAGCGCGCATCAGCTGGCCCGCGGCTCGGAAATCCCTTCCCGGGCAAAGGGAAGGGATAGAGAACGCAAGAGTAGAGGTAGAACCCCTGAACCCCCTCTGGATTTATTTCTAGAGGGGGTGAAAGGAGTGTTCCCTCGGAGCTCTTGCTGATCTCCGCCTCCCAGCTGTTTTTGCTTCCTTGGAAGCAAAAGAAACCGCCGCTTCTATCTCCGTGTTTACAGCATTTTGGTGAGTAATTTTTAAACGGACGGAGCAGTTTAAAGGACTTTTTCTTATATTTTAGGTGTTTATTTTTTTATCTTTTGATTTTTACTATTTTTCCTCCTTTTCTTTGTTATACTAGTGAAAGGACTTAAGATGGCGTTTTGAAAGTGTCGGAGTTTTTTTTTCCTTTCTCTTTTGTTTTACTTTCCCTTTTTAAGGATTGTTTTTTGCTTTTGCTTTTGCTTTTGGCTTAGAATTTTTTTTTTTTTGAATTGTTTGCTCTTTTATTACTTATTCTTGGGATTTATTCTGGACTTTTAATGATTATAGTTTGTCTCTTTTTAAAAATTCTTTTTTTCTTTTTTTCCTCCTCCCTTTTTGGCTGGAGGGGAAAGGGAAGTGACAATTGTGCTTTTTAAAATGGCTTCAAAGAGGCAGCAGCCTTCCTCAATACCCAAGGTTATTTCTTCTCCTATAACTTCCACTGCACAGCTACAACAACAATCTAAACATGCACCACCGGCTCAGCCACCACCCTCCCCTCCTCTACCTGGACTTTCAGTGCAAGAGGTTAGAGGCATAATGGGAGAGATTGTAGTTCAAATGAGAGAGGAAATGACTCAATTTGTTTCACAGATTAAATCAGAAATTAAATCTGATCTCAAAGAAGAGATAACGGGGATAAAGTCTAAATTGCAAGAAAATAATAATGAATTACGACAAGATATACTGGCAGCTGTTTCAGGTTTGGCTACTGTGGTGGTTAAGCTCGATGCAAGGCTTGAGGAAGTGGAAGACAAAGTTGACTCTTTAGATGACAAAATTCAAGACGTGGAAAGGAAGGTGGACTCCTCACAAGAAGATATTTTGATGTTTCAGTACAGACAAATGGAGTATGCTCTGAGGATTAGAGGCCTCAAGGAAGATATGAATCAAGATTTGATGGAGGTGGTTCTTAGTGATCTGGCGCTGGCTTTGGATATGGATAAAGGAGAATTACAGAGAGAAGTAGAAAAAATTTATAGACTCAACTCCTGGATTGCTAAGCAGAAGAATTTGCCCAGAGATGTGGTGATTTACTTTACAAAGAAGTCCCTGCGGAATGAGATTATACAAGCTTTTTACAACAAAAGATTTCAGATTGCCGCCCAAGATGTCATCATTCTAAAGGAAATCCCATCTAAAATTTTAAGAAGTAGGAAAGACTTTGCTTTTTTAACCAATGAGCTTAAAGCTAGATCGATGCCATTCAGATGGGAAATTCCGATGGGTATCGTTTTGAGCCATGCTGGGACACGTTACAGATTGAACACAGTTGACAAAGCTAGAGATTTCTATACTTCGGTCCTGAGTGCAGGCTCAACTTCATCTGGTCGGAAATCTTTGAGTGCTAAGGAACCTGAGCAGCAATCTGAGGCACTAGATTTGGTTTCCGCAGGGATGATAGAAGTGGCAAAGCAACGCCAAACGGAGGCTAAAGAGCAGAGGATGACTCGTGCAGCTTATAAGCGTAAAGAGAAAGAGCAACGTAAAAAAGAGCCCAAAGAGAATTCTCCTGGAAGTGCATCACCGCCGGTGGGAGGAGCAAGACCCAAGAGTTATGCAACACACGCAGCTCTGTCAGAGTTTGATGGTGTCTTCTCCAGGCTGCGTGCCAAGGGAGATGGCAAAGTTTTTGACCTGGAATGTTAATGGATTGAATTCTCCTCAGAAACGGAAAAAAATCTTTTATTATTTGAAACAACATACCAATGATGTTATTTGTTTACAGGAAACTCATATTCTACTTAAAGATCAGAAATATTTAGTTAATGCTCGTTTGGGATCTCATTTTATATCTCCTGCACCTGGGAAGAAAGGGGGAGTTGTTATATATGTCAAACAAAACCTGCCAGCTTGTCTGGTAGAATCAGATCCCCAGGGGAGATATGTGATGATTGAACTTGGTATTTATGGTAAGAAAGTACTTATAGTTGGACTTTATGCTCCAAATCAACAACAGGAACAATTTTATAAACAGTTACACCAAAAAATAACTTTGCTTGATTATAGATCAGTGGTATTAATGGGTGATTGGAATGGTGTCTTAGATACACAAAGGGATAAGAAAGGTTCCTCTCCTTTTCTTAAACAAGCAAGGCTACCTAAAGCCTTTTTTGATATGAAAGAAGACTGGGAATTAAGGGACTATTGGCGGGAACGTAATCAAGAGGAGAGAGACTTTACTTTTTTTTCTGACAGACACCAATCTTTTTCAAGAATTGACTTTTTCTTGATTACCACGGATTTGTATAATAAAGTAAAGAATGTAAAGATTTTTCCTAGATCACTGACGGATCATAGTCCAGTTTGGATGGAGCTGATTCAAGAGAAAGAGGAAAGAAGATCCTGGAGAGTTAATGAAAATTTGTTTAGACAAGAGAAGAATGTTCAAAAACTAAAGGAGTGTTTAAAGGACTATTTTGCTTTGAATATGTACAAGGGGACTTCAATGTCAATGGTATGGGATGCAGGTAAAGCATTTATGCGCGGTGTTTTGATAAAAATGAATAATTTTTATAAGCGAAATCAGATTCAGAAACGTAGAGAACTTGAAGATGAAATTAAACTAAAAGAAAGGGCTTTGATTCTAAATCCTTCTGATGAAAGTACTAAAGAATCTGTAAAGTTATTAAGGTCACAATTTAATATGTTGATAGCAGATCAAGCTGCAACCAATTTATTATTTATGAAACAAAATACATTTTGTAATGCTAATAAGCCGGGGAGATGGTTGGCTTATCAATTAAGAAAGAAACAGAGACTGAGAATAATAGAGAAAATAAATTATAAGGGTAAATAGTTTCTCAGAAGGAATTAATTAAAAAATCTTTTTTGGATTATTATCAAAACCTATACAAATCTACTAATGTACAACTGTTAGATATAAATAAATATTTAGCTGAGGCAAGTTTTCCTAAACTGACTGAGGATCAGAAATATGAAATTAATGGTTTAATTACTAAGGAGGAAATCGCCTCAGCAATTCAACAATTGAAATTAGGGAAAGCACCGGGTACGGATGGGTTAACAGCTGTTTATTATAAAGCTTTAATGGAGGAGATGATTCAACCATTAAATGATCTTTTTAATGGTATCTTACAGGGTTTAGAGATTCCTCCTTCATGGCGTAGTGCTTTTATATCATTGATTCCAAAGGAGGATCAAGATCTTACTTTACCAAAAAACTATAGGCCTATATCTCTTTTAAACGTGGATTATAAGATATTTGTAAAAATTTTGGTAAATAGGCTTATGAGGGTGGTGCATCATCTTGTGCATAAAGATCAATCAGGGTTTATAACAGGAAGGTATATGAAAAACAATGTTAGACAAATTATTAATCTTATTAGAATACTTAGATAAGAACAACCAAGTTCCTGCAGGGCTCATATTTTTAGATGCTGAAAAAGCATTTGACCAACTGAATTGGCATTTTATGCTAAGAGTAATGGAAGAAATGAATTTTGGTGAAAACATATTACAAGCCCTTAAGGTAATATATCAAAAACAAACAGCACAACTTATTGTTAATGGAGGTTTGTCGGAGGTTTTCACAATAGAGAAAGGTACTAGACAGGGGTGTCCTTTATCGCCATTGTTGTTTGTTTTAACATTGGAAATATT